TTTATCAGTACATTACAGAAAATAATGAACTTTATCACAATATGCTTATTTTTTGAGAAGGACCTTTACTTAGTCTGCAGATAATTTATAGGAAAAAAATATCTAAATTGCAGCATATATAATAAAGCATTTTTTGTCACTGTTTTAAAAAAGCACTAACATTAATCAATAAGGGGTATTTATTGTCTTAAATTTACAGTAAGGTAACACCTGGGTGCAGAAGCTAATTTACAATGAGGCCAATGAACTCTGGGTCACAAGACCGGTCGCCTTTTCTTTACAGAAACACTCATATTGATTATAATGTCTGGTATGGAGACTGTGAAAGAGACAGCAATAACTCACTGACAAAAAGAAACAATACTGATCGTTTGTTCTTGTCTGCAATACAGATGATAACTCTGTATCTGTTCCACAATGTAGGCTCATGTCTCTGGACCAGTTTACAATAATTCACTGGCCTAATTAGCTCAGGAAAATATGATTATCATGAATAATGGTTCAGTAAAACCTGAGTGATGTAATGGCATTCATTTATGTTGTTGAAACTTACTGATGCATGCCCTTGGGCGGTAATGGTAATTACTGAGTAGCAATTATCATCTGTAATCAAACTTTTTAAATGCAGACACAAACGCATTAACAAAAACATACAATTAAGTTTTATTACAAGTAGCAGTGTAATTTCTTCTCATTTGTACTACACAATATTTGAGCGCCTTTTTTTAACCATCCTGTGAAGTTGGTGTCATGTTTGCAAGTAATTATGACCAATTGCGTTTTGAAATTCTTAAAACAAACAGTTTAATTTACATTCAAAAATGCTGTTGGGTGAGCAAAACGTAAAACTTGTGACAGATTGTCTACAAAATCCAGGTAACAAAGCAAACACATACAGGGAGTAATGCCAAACCAAAGAACAAACCAACATGCCAGGCATATAAAGACCAACTTACGAACCGAAACAACTAGTGCAGGGACAAACAGAGGTGCTGGTTGGTGTGGCAGAACAGAAGAGCATGAACAAAACAGAGAAAAATAGAACACAGACAGACCCAGGAATAAATATAATACAGTATTCAAACACACAAAATTGCAAATCCTAACAGTTATTAATGAGCTGCCAACATGATCACAAGGCGACAGAAATTTATTGGATGATTTCTCAACCAATAGAGTGCTATTCAGGACTGGAGTGCTATGTTTGGCTTAAAGGGGCAATATTATGTGTTTTTCAGGCATATATTTAAGTTCTATCATAAAATATCTATGTCACCTTTAGTTATTAAAATGCTGTTTCTATGTTTAAATAGAAAATAAACTCTTCTTCTAATCATTTCCATTTCTAAACATCTTGAAATTGGCC